CATAATGTACCTAGGTTGGTATATACACCTAGGATCGTCATAATATGCTAAAGTTCGGTATAATGCAAATAAAGTTGGTAAAATGTACATAGAGTTAGTATATATATATATATATATTGTGCGCGGTCTCGGTATAATGTACAATAGTTCGATATAACGCATATAGATTAGGTATAGTGTACATAGGTTCGGTACAATGTACAGATCAAAGTTGGTTATAATATATACGGAGATGGTATAATGTTCATAGGGTTGGTATATTGTATACGGGGAGGGTTAATGTACAAAAGTTCGGTATAATGCATATAGGTGTAGTATAACGTACACATGGTCGCTATAATGTAGAAGGTTTGGTACAATGTACACGGCTCGGTATAATGCACATAGATTCGGTTCAATGTACAGAAGTTTGGTACATATGGTAAGTATGACAGTGTGAAAATTACAGCGTCCTCTAGGGACGCAGTGTGGACTTGACTCGATTTTGTATAATTAAAACGACCTCACATCTAAATATTTTTTAGAGGGCGCTCCCACGATATGAAGCCTCTCTGAATATTGCTGTGGAGATTGGTGACAAGGTGGGACAGATACATGCGTCGATTGGAATGGCGAAAAATATGGAAATGACCAAGCAATTTCGACTGGTAATTAATTATCTAAAGGAAAATAGCATCTTCACTACACACCCATACGCCCACGTGTGCCAACTTTATTGGCATTCTAAATTCTAAAAATTCACCGCCGGCTGTTCATCTATTCAACTATTCGAATGAATCACCACGTGTGTGTGTGTCATAGGAGTATACTGAGGTCAAAGTTTTTGACACAATCAACTGCAATGCAGTTACAATTTCAAAGTTTTTGATAGACGGAGCAATCATTTATGACGAGTATATGCTATAATTTTTTAAAACACGTAAAACAAGTTCGTCAACTTAAAAGAGAATGACGTGAGTTATTAACGCATGAGTGTGAATGACCGACATTTTTACAAAGCCACGAGATTTTTTTTTCAAAACTTATCTTTATCAGAGGACTCTGATCGTGATCATAAATGTGCGCTGACTTACTATCTTGAAAATGATATGATTCGACATCTTTAAAGTGCATTGGTTTAAGCCCAATTATTGTTCGCACGTATCCTATAGAAACGATCCAAGATAAAAAAAAAAAAAACACCACAACGGATTTTAATTGAATATATCACGTGACATTTAAATGATGTGAAGGATGTAATGTATTCAAGTTTGTTGTTGTTATTATTATATATTATGTGTAGGCATTAGAATACATTCACAGAGCTCTGGATCTGGCCGAATGCATCGGAAGTAAGGTACGTATGAATACATGAGTACATGCGTTTTCTGTGCTCAATCGTGTCGGATTTGTGATAAAGATGTACCTACAATACTCTTTCCCCCGTTCATGCATTCAGAAGGCACAGTACCGCTTACTCAAATCGCATAGGCGAAAATTAGCGTTTTGTACCATATTGCTAAAAGCGTTTAGCTAAATGAGTGCCTTCTAGCTGTATTTCTGTTATTCCTACGTAATATAATACTGTAAAATACTTTATTTTAGCTGGAAATAATTTTCGCTGAAAGGACTTTTTGGGTGTTTTGTATGGAATTTATTTTCACTGATTTTTGACAAGTTTAATGTAAAAAAAGGTATATTCGCTGGATTTTATTTTCACTGAATCAATTCTTCTGCGAAAATTAATTCCAAGCGAAAATAAAATATTCTACAGTAATGTGTTCTTTGATACCATATGTAATATCCAACACATTGTTTTTATGTGACTATGAATAGTTAGACACCGAATACTGAATACTATATATTTTACATTTAATGATTAATTTCAAGCTTAATTTAAAATATTTTATCAAAAAAAAAAAACAAAAAAAAAACGAGACTATATTGTGAACAGGCGTGATTCGACAATTTGACATCATTCGCATTGGATACCACACTGTCATTCCTCACTAATAAGTAGAGGCCGTAATATCTTCATGGGGGTACTGATGCGATATTACTGTTCTTTGACCTCGATAGGTTTATTATGGTTCATGTTTGGAATTGAGTGCGAGTACATGATACGTAACGAGCACAGTATGTGCATTCCAATGATCATTATAGTGATAAATATTTTATTTGTACTGACGTGAATGGGACTGGTGCTTATCGCCTCACTGTGGTTTTATTTACATATCAATTTTATGAAACTGCGCATGCGCTTGTGACGAGCAAATCAGAGAAGAGGAACCCACACGTGATAATAAAACAGTGAACGTTTTCATGCGATTTTTGACCAACTTTCTAGAAGATGTGAATGGGATTCGTAATTTGGGTTGCATGATGGGATTGGGTGTCGTCATGTACGTATACCCCGGTAAGTAAATGTTCCGCGTCTGCAGGAAGGCGGGAGTTTATGAAATGAGATGAGTTGAGATAGACGTCTCAGATCAGCAGACGACAGGTGTGTTGAATTTATATGCACAACATAATAGAGGGTGCAATACATTTTTAAGCGAGGTGGGGGTTGTCGCATCTAATAGGACTGGTTTACATAATTGGTTTCTCCTTTTTTTTGTAGTTCCTAGCTATGAAGTGTCACTTGTACCTAGAGCAAATTCACACCACACTGGGACAGTTAGAACAAGCATGGGAGAATAATAAGCTATACAAGCAGTGTGTGGAAGATTTGGCGCTAAGCTGCGGTGTATGCAATGAGGTGATTTCCGAGAAACCAGAGTCTTTGGAATCACTGCAGTGTTCTCATTTATTTCACGCAAGGTAATTTCCGATTATTGTCTTTTTTTTTCTAGCTTATGTGAAACATTTGTTCACGTGTCTCACATCTGCGTCTATATTACACCTTTCCTATGAGTCTCACCCTCTTTCAGTAAAATGTCTCATTTGATGACGTCGTCGTTCCCATTAAGGATATGGCAAATCTCTAAAATACATATTTTTTTCAATCGTATTCGTGACCACACGCGTCGACTTGGCGATGATTGGCTGAAGTGGTGAGAACCCCTCACTTTCGTGGCTGCTCTTGAGGCTTCGTAGTTCGTAGTTCACAAGCGCCTTTGGACTTCCATGCTAATACTACCGGTCCCATTTAGACTGGGGGTATTTAAGGGGTTGTGGGAAATTGATGTGGTATGTCGTGTCTATGGTATCTCTATAACCAAGCGTCTTTACCTTTCAGTTGCTTAGAGGAATACACAGCCGGAGATTCAAGAGGTTGCCCAGACTGTCGAAGATCTCTCGTCAAACCAGTGTTTGTTTGAAGAACAGAAACGTTTCCTAGAACATCAATGTGAAACGTTTTGCTACGACCTATTGAACGTTGAATTGACAATTTAAGCCTTTGTAATACATGTTGGACACCTGCATTGTGCATTCAGTTGAAATGGTATTACAATTAATATCAACTTGAGTAGGACCTGGTGGACGTTGAGTTCGACGCCTTTGGTAAACGTTTTTATCATCATGCCAGTTGAAATCGTACCAGGTGCGTCAGTGGTGACTTTTATTTCAAAGAGCCCGATCGTGGCAGAGTTGTGTATATATGTATATTAAGTGTATTCATTATCTAACATACGTCCGTTTGATGCTGGAAATATTAAAAATATTAAAAAGTATTTGTGTGAACCAAAAACCTATATATACGAATTGTTAAATAAAATGCATAACTGACAATTCTTGCCTCCCTGTGTTGTCGTCCCTGATAAATTGCAGGGATCCGCAATCCATATCATTTCACATTTCTTCAAACTATTAAAGGGCGGGAGACGTCGCGCTGCGCATGTGCGACATTTGTGTTGATAAACATTCAAGTTGATTTTCACACAATTCAATGGGCTCTTCTAATGGAAATCACAAGTTTGAGGTTTGACCTGGGTGCGACTTGCACTAATTATCGCCGATGATTCCTTCGATAACTTCAAATCACCTAAAAAACGTCCCAGTTTGTACTCGTTGATCTGCACAACAGTCAAAGTCGACATCTTTGTTTATATATCTCACGCATGCGTGGCGCGACGACTACCGCCCTTTAACTGCAATAATTTAGTATTTATTACACAAAAATATTAAGTTAATTTCTTTTATATCCTGGCCACGTGATTTTATATTAACAACCGTATACTTACACATTTTGATCGAAACAGTTAATGTAGATATTTTCCTCACAATGGCCATACAAATGTTTTATTTGTATCAAACGTGTACACTGAGTGGTCTCCTATAGGATTTGTTCAACTCCGTTATCGATTTGATAATTTGAAAATTCGATTGTCTCCAAATCAGCGGGAAAATGATATGTAAACATTGTTTATTCAGAATTTTATTGCTATCATGGGTTCTTGTCTTTCACTGAGACCAAAATGTTTGCCATTTACTACCCCAGTGGTGGAAATAGACATGCCAAACATATGGGCAATAAGTTGAATAGGTCACTGACATGTTCATGATAACTTGAACATCTAAACCCTGCATTCAAGACTGGGAACTCCCGTTTCGAGAATACAGTATAAACGTAATCAAATCCGTATTTTAGTAAACAAAGAAAAATTAAAAAAAAAGTCAATGTTGTTTCGAAATAACACATCATCAGGGATTGATCTTCAAGCTCTTAGAAGGCACTGTCTCTCATATGTTCTATCAGTACCACGTAACTAGGCACACGTGATACACGCACGTGTACGTACATCTTACATATACCATCGGCACTAACGTGCTCAATCTTCAAGTCGATTTTAGAAAAGATTCGTTTTTAGCATGATGTTGATGAACTCTTCCTTGTCGATCACGTGGTCACCGTTCAAATCGGCTTCGTGGATCATCTCCCGAATCATAACGTCCGAATACCACAGTCCATGCTCGTCACTCGATGTGCGAATGTCATCAAACGTCACGTGACCTTTACCGTCTGGGTTAAAAAAACGAATATGTTATGCACATTTTAGAAGAGATTGTGCAGTGTGTGGTCTCAATTTATCACTGAAATTCGTGAAAAATATATAATTCTTTTATTTCCCATTAGAACGAAATTGGGTTTTTAAAAATATAATATGTGCTAAAGTTTTATTTTTGTTTCGTGTTTTATACAACTTGAATGAAACTCGATGTACTTCTAAGAAATATAAAAGTGTACCTCGTTTGTAGTGTGGCGCATGCGTAGACACCACTCGACAGTCACAGCTTTTGTTATGACCGAACTGAGACGAGCCGGTAATACATCAAAATGTCTCTTAGAGGGAGGTACCAAGTGAAACGAAACAAATTATTTGTTGAGCTGTTGTTATTTGCCCGTTGGAGTTTGAGATCAAGTAACTGCGCATGTGCATATATGGTATATCTGTCGTAATGTAAATGGTGGATTTGTGAAACGACATTACAATAACACATACCTGTATCAATCATGTTAAATCCCTGTAAAACAAAATGGTATTCTTCTTAATGATGACATCATCATCATATTACCCAATATACATTCATTCATAAAGTCATTTATATCAAAAGATAGTTTGAATAATTTAGGTAAAAAAAAATATTGTTTTTTTGCCTTTTATCCCCACACAGCTCTTACCACGGAGTCCCTAGGTTATATACAATCAATACTCGTTATTGACAGTTTATTTGATGTTTACGCGCCATAGATTCACAGTTCTCGGCTTTATGCAAATTTTAATCTTTGTACATCGTGAATGACCTCTATTACTCACACTTGTTTACCACTTTCAGCTACGAAGTGAGTTATAGTAGAAGTTATACGTGCATTTATGTCGCGGTTACCGTATGGGTTGGTAAAGTATGGCATTTATCTGACAAAATGGTCTGCGCGAGTTCCATTACTTGTTTTATTTTCATAGCAAATTAATATTATTCACCTGAACGATTTCGTCATAGATGTCACGTGCATTGCCTTGTTTATTTACTATGAATTCCAGAAAATCATTGAAGGTCACCAACCTAGAAGACGAACAAGACAGATTGATTAAAACGAAGGTATCAGAATATTTGAACTATAGATGGCGTCCCACATAACACCTTGCCCGTTTTCATGTGGGATTTTTTCCGTGTTTTGTCGCGTAATGCTTTCCTTTTATGATATAACACATTTTCAAAATAACTTTTAGTACTCACCCTTTCTGATCGTTGTCAAGATCGGCTGTAATTGGCAAAGGAAACGAATGTAAGGATAGTGTATAGATGAAAATGGTAGTGTTCTTATTCACTTTACAGAAATAAAGTTGTTTGATGATTCTCTGACACCAACTCATATTCGTGACTGGCTCAACAATTCCACATTTCAGGGAGGCGTGTATATGAAATTTATTTTAATTTATTATATGGTGTATCAATTCATGCGATGCGCTGTGTTTTCTCTCTTATAATCGTAATAAGAATCTGGGTTGTATAATTCAAATGAATACCTATCATTTCGTCAAGTTCCCTCGGTGTTAGCTTGAATCCCAATGCTCTCATTGCTCGACGTAGATCATCAGAATCGATACACCTGTCAGAAAAATATGTGTATTCATGTTGAGCTTTACTGGCAATTTTTAAACAAATCCATAGTTATATAGTCGCGATTCCTAGGGTAACGTTTTAACATTGACTTTTATTATTTTTTTATTTCCCGGCACGTCGCATCAATCGTATTTTGTTATTGTGACTAATTTGTATTTACTTGCTTTAAAAATCAAATTTTCAACTAATTCGATGGAATCTAATGACTTCCATGTCTTATTAAACTAACCGTCATATCATAGCGACATTTTAATTTGTTCACGTTTTATGGCAAATGCAATAGGAAGTTATAAAACAGTCGCTCTAAATTTTGAAAAATCGACCATCACAAGTTTTACTCTCACAAGTTTTACTCTCACAATGCCTGTACTTTGTGAACAACTGTGACTTCCGCACCTCGGCGCGCAGGCAAGGCATGCGTGCGAAAAGGATGCAAAACCCCGGTACTCAGCCAAGATAAATTCTATGATATGCGAATATGCCATGCTTTAGAGTAAATGTTTTTACAAGAGCAATCAGAGTATACAGTGCTGCTTCCAGGGGTTGCGTTGGAGTTCGTCGCTGAGGGCGCAGAAACCGCGCTGGAAAGCACCAAAGTCTGAAAGGGTAAAGTGATGTCGATTATTCTGACGACTAAAACATGTTCGCCCATCGGCCCACCTAAGTGCATATAAAACATAACGCTCTCACTGACTGACTGACTGAAAGTTCACGCTACTGACCCTTTGTGATCTCGGTCAAATGTATCGAACACGAGCTTAAGATCCTGAATTTCCTGTGACGTCAGCTGCTCCCTCAACTTCTGATCAATGGTGCTCAAATAGTCGCCAATAATCGCCAACTTTCTCAAGATATCACTCCGGTCGTCGTTCTCTTCTTTGGCAGCTGCGCGTATCCTCCGACGCGGCCTTTTCTGCTGTCTCTTTCTAGTTGACATGGCAACAGAACTATTGCTTTGCGTCACGTTATTACATATTCCGGTAATATCAATTTTTCTAGAAACTAAAGCACATGATCAAGTTCAGCGTAGTGGATAAATAACAAAGATTCTTAATTGAAGGGCGGTGGACGTCACGCGACCCGCGTCCGTAAATAAACAATGTATTTTACACGCATTGTATACGTCGCTATGAGTCCCGTATCAAACATGACGCGGCGCGACGACCCTTCAAAGCGCGGTGTCGTCGCGCAGCGCGTGTTCGAATTTCATGTAAATAAACAATGTATTTTACACGCGTTGTATACGTCGCTATGAGTCTCATATCAAAACATGACGACCGCGTATAAGTGGGTGGCGAGGGGCCCATGAAAATAACACAACGTCGTTTAACAATACACGACACTTAACAATAAGATAGAAATGAGTAAAGTACACAGCGTGGACAAGAGAAGTCGGTTCAATTATATTTAATTCAGTTTATGATTGCCACTTAACAGGAGCGCGGAGGTGTTGGATTTAACGTGTATGTCGTGGTGTGTAGTAGAATGGAAACGCAGAAAGCTTTGATTTTTATTTAATTTGGTCGGCCATCTTTGAATCACTGCAGTGATTATGCATATAGCAATACAAAAATGAGTCGTCTAACGTAATCCAAATCATAACATGCTTCATGTATCTCACCATCAGTAAGGTAAGTAACATAATTATTTGAGACCTTTCAAAATAAATGCCGAGATCAAAGACGGACTATATCTCAAATCGCAGTCACCCTAACAGTCGGGAATTTAATCAAATACATGCACTACTTCAATAAATTGTCGGCGATATGCAATGTACTGATGCATATGTTTACAAATCCAATTCAGTTAACGACATTTCACTACATACTGAACGCATGTCACTTTCACTGTTATACACACTGTATCACAGATGCAGCGAGTGGCCGGACGATCTGTACGCCTTGATCACCTATAACGGTACTTTCGTTCCTCTTCTTGATTGTTAATTACGCGTGGTCAAGTTTAAAAGCCCGAAAATTGGGTCAGCAATGAAATAAACATATGATACAAGCCGGAATACAAGCTATAAATCGATCCCGGATCTGCTTGCTCGTAACAAATGATTGTACATGTAATTCGGTGTGCGATTAAGATTATGCTCAAAGGTTGTACACAATTCTACTCGTCTATCAATGTTATGATTACTAGTATTGTATTTCAGTGTTGAAGGGTGTATTTCCCGGGTGTTTTTGCTATTTTCATAAATTTCATATAATAGCATTCCACTATTTCGTGAAGAAGCTACCATTTCGCGATTTCGTATACAGTGCTTATATGTATACCCATTCAGCGATAAAAAAAGTTATTTTCGATTTCAGGTGGATTTCAATGGTTACCGTTTTCAATTTCGGTCTCTCTGGATGCTATGTCTTCCTACAACGCGTTGACTGTTTTGAGTCTATCATTTGTAGATCGCCTATACGAATATTATAATATCTCAGACATTCAAATAAAGACAAATATTCAGCGTTTTGTTTTCTAATTAACAGGGTTGTGGCTGGTTATCATTTTCTAAGAGTGATTGATTGATTGATTGATACAATTTACGATTACCAAGTGGAAAATGCAATCTTACCAAAATGAGCTCCCGGTCGGGCGCAGTCACCTAGAACGACGGTGGTAACACAGTACGATAACTGGGGACTGTGGACGACGGAAACTCCCCTGTGGTTGCCTCTATTTCACTGTACAGCTGTAACTAGAGTACGTGTTTTACTGATATCGCTCCGAGCTCAGCGTACGTATTGACTGGCGACTATTCACGCATTTACAGGCGACTATTCCTCGTACTTGTGCGAGCGGCCGTATATTGAAAGTAGTCGTTAGTGATAACTTAATAACACTCTGTGTCTGGGTGTCAACACGAACCGTAATTGAAACTGTGTTTATTTTCTATCAGTTCGAATGGCAACTCTTGTTGCTCACAATTAAATAGTATAGCATTTCCCGAAACAATAACACAATCCGCACGTTGCTAGGGGAGTATAGCTGTTACCAACAAAAGTGGTGTTTGTTGCGGGTCTTTGTTGTTAAACGAAACAACGTAAGCGTAATTATCCAAGGGGGAAATCGGCTGCGATTGATGCTTTACCCCCACTCTATTATTATCGTGAAATTTACCCTGTAAATATAGAGAGAATGGAATCGCCTCGCGGAGGGAAATCGATCACCATTCATTGAAATATTCGTATTAGTGTTGCCATGACGATGTCACATATTGAGCGATGCCAGATGATATGTTGTAAGCTCACTGAATGTAATAGTGTATCAAAGAGCACAGTGCTTGACACCATCAAGGTATATTCAGTTCTACAACGAATATCCCGAGACGAAAATACATTGACTCGCTCTTCCATTCACCCACGAATCTTAAAATTTTACCAGAACCAGAATATTAAGCAGAATATTATTAATAATGCACGGCTGGGATTATAGAAAGAAGCACGGAAAATATCGTAGTGCAAACACAAAAAAGCTGCAAATCGTCAACGGCAAAACAGTCTTTTATGAAAGAAAATGGAGCAGCAACATATGACGTCATTGATCGATGATGCCGGAGTCAGCGTGACGGAACCCTGACAAAACTGAGCCCAGTATTCCTAAAAGCGCACCCTATGTCAAATTGTCCATTGCCTTTAGTCTGTCACTCAGCCTGCCTATGTAAATGTACGATGGCATGTTTTCCAATAAAATATATATAGTATTTCAATTGGAAATTGGAATTTCGAACAAAGCTAGTGATTTTTGGCCATATTTTTTTTTAAAGAAAGTATACTAATACAAATTCGTGTAACAACCACCGAACTATGGTAGAATGCTAACTGGTACAATTTTTGGAACCTTTTAAGGTAGCGAGACTATTATTTGTGTTGAAAATTACGATTTTCACATTTATTTATTAATTGATGAAATGCACTATAAACTTTCATCTGATAAAGTCAATATAACATAGAATGTCATGTAAGTTGGTTAAAATATAGATTTTCTGAAGGGAAGCAAGGCAGCCTCAGTAGTGTTTTCCAAAATCAACAACACAGGTTTAATCTGTGTGCCTATAAGTTTCAAAGATAAACTCAAGACAAAGCAATGTTAGGATGTGTTATCAGTAGCTATCTGACACACAATGTTTCCAAACATTTGAGTGGTTTGTCTCCGCCCCTGTTTGTTTCACAGATTAGTCATTTGCATATGAATGTGTCAGACACAAGGTCACACAGCCACTGAAAAAAAAATCATTGATTTTGGTGTTTTCATATGCCGAATTTATCCAATTATAGCTATCCCATTCCTTTATTTTTTGGTTTCCAATAGCCTTACACATTTGGAT